GGGTCCCCCTCCCCAATTTTGGGCTCCCCCTCCCCAATTTTGGGGTCCCCCTCCCCAGTTTTGGGGTCCCCCTCCCCAATTTTGGGGTCCCCCTCCCCAGTTTTGGGGTCCCCCTCCCCAGTTCCCGCCCCTCACCGGCTGCGCCTCCATGTCCCGCACGGTCTCGTTGGCGTCGTAGAACCCGAAAAGGCTTCGGGAACCAAATTTGGGGTCACGGGGGGGGAGCCCCGAAATTCGGGGAGACCCCAAAAAATTGGGGGAATTCGGGGATTTTTAGGGGAATTTTTTAGGGGAATTTTGGGGATTTTTTTAATGGGAATTTTTGGGATTTTTTAATGGGAATTTTGGGATTTTTTGGGAGGATTTTGGGAATTTTTTTAATGGGAATTTTTGGGATTTTTTAATGGGAATTTTGGGGATTTTTGGGAGAATTTGGGGGATTTTTTTAATGGGAATTTTGGGGATTTTTTAATGGGAATTTTGGGGATTTTTGGGAGAATTTGGGGGATTTTTTTAATGGGAATTTTGGGGATTTTTGGGAGAACTTTTAGGACTTTTTAGGGGAATTTTGGGGATTTTTTTAATGGGAATTTTGGGGATTTTTTTAATGGGAATTTTTGCGATTTTTGGGAGGATTTTTAGGATTTTTTAGGGGAATTTTGGGGATTTTTTGGGAGGATTTTGGGGACTTTTTTAATGGGAATTTTGGGGGTTTTTGGGAGGATTTTGAGGTTTTTTATGGGAATTTTGGGGATTTTTTAAGGGAATTTTGGGGATTTCTATGAGGATTTTGGGGTTTTTTAATGGGAATTTAAAGATTTTTTAGAAGAATTTTGGAGATTTTTTTAGGGGAATTTTAAGATTTTTTTAAATGGGAATTTTGGCGATTTTTTATGGGAATTTTTGGGATTTTTGGGAGGATTTTGGGATTTTTTTGATTTTGGGGGGATTTTTTAAGGGATTTTTAGGATTTTTGGGAAGGTTTAGGGGGAATTTTTAGAGGAATTTTGGGATTTTTTAATGGGAATTTTGGGGATTTTTTGGGAGGATTTTGGGGATTTTTTAAGGAATTTTGGGGATTTTGGGGAAGATTTTTTTGGATTTTTTTTAGGGGGATTTTGGGAAAGGATTTTGGGATTTTTTTGGGAGGATTTTTGGGGTTTTTTCGGGGAATTTGGGGGGATTTTGGGGGAGAATTTTGGAGATTTTTTTTGTGGGAATTTTGGGGATTTTTGGGGGTAATTTTGAATTAATTTTGGGGTGTTTTGGGGTAATTTTGGGCTGTTTTTGGGGTTGTTTTTTGGGCTGTTTTGGGTTTTTTTGGGGCTGTTTCTGGGTTGTTTCTGGGGTGGTTTTGGGGTGTTTTTGGGCTGTTTTGGGGTTTTTTTGGGAGGCTGTTTTTGGGCTGTTTTTGGGGTGTTTTTGTGTTGTTTTGGGGTTGTTTTTGGGCTGTTTTTGTGCTGTTTTGGGGCTCTTTTCAGGGTGTTTTTGTGCTGTTTTTGGGGTGTTTTTGGGGTGTTTTGGGGGTATTTTTTGGGCTGTTTTTGTGCTGTTTTGGGGCTGTTTTCAGGGTGTTTTTGGGGTGGTTTTGTGCTGTTTTTGGGGTGTTTTCGGGGTGTTTTGGCTCTCACCTGGACTGCCAGGGGGTGATGACGCCGTCGTCGGGGCCCCCGATCAGCACCAGGCGCTGGATCCGCAGCAGGTTCCGCTTCCACTCTGGGGAAATTCGGGGCTTTTTGGGTGATTTCGGGCCGATTTCCAGGGTTTTGGGGTTTTTTGGGTGTTTCTGGGGTGTTTTTGGGGTGTTTTTGGGGGTTTTTGGGGTCTCACCGGAGGCGTTGGGGTGCAGGCGCTCGTCGTTGAGCAGCGCCAGGAAATCGCTG